CCCCCCCCCCCCCCCCCACTTTGCACACTGCCCCTGTCCACAGTTGCCCTCAGGAATGTTTCAAGCTCAAAGCACTTCAGTTGAAGTTAAAGCCATCAGTTTCAAGCTTGGAAGGCAGCATTTTGAATGCATAATGTTTCAACATGTTTTACACATCTCTATCTGCTTATCCAAGTCATTAATGTTGGAGCAGAAAGTCCAGGTCTGATTTCTGTGGCATCCAGTCAATACCCCCCTTTAATCTGATGAGGAATCAAATCAGCTATGTATCCACTTAATTGCCAGATCATCCAGTCCACACCTAAGTGGCTTGATCATGAAAATATTATGGGATACTTTGTCAGATGCTTTTCTAAAATCAAGATAAATTATAACTACATCCACTAAAAAGCTGCCTGGTCAGAACATGAGATAAAGTTAGTCTCCAGTTAGTCTGCTGATATTTGGCTATTACTACATAGTTTTAAGGAGTTTAAAGATCAATCTCTTTATGTTCTGCTCCAGAATTTTCTCAAGCATCAATGTTAGACTGGTATATTTTTTCCTTGGGATTCTCCTTTTTCTTTCTCAAGATAAGAATAAGATTTGCTTTCCTTTAATCATCTGGCACTTCAGCAGTCCTCAAAGTCATGGTTTTGGCCAGCTTGGTTTTGGTAATCTAGATGTAATTAATCTGGCCCTGAAGATTTTCATGTCATCACTTTCTGCCAAGACTAACAATTGAAAATTAAATTCAGTTCAGGATCAGACTTCTATTGGGACTCAGAGTCCCCCCTCCCCCCCCAAATATTTCTGAATTGAATTTGTTTGGGTGGAAGAAGGTCCTCCTGTAGGCATACCCTTTTCCCCCTTGCATCTTCTTAAAAGGGAAAGGAGAAAGGAGATGAAAAGAGCCAATTGAGAAAATAATTAAGGTTTATAATATTCAGCAAGGAAAGATGGAGAACATCCAATCTATTTCCTTGACAGGACAACCTTAGTAAAATGGCTGAAACTTGGAGAAGTAAAAGGATATACTAGAAAATAAAAGCCAACCATTGAGCAAATCTGTTATATTAATAAATATATTCATCTTAATTCATCCTGGGCTGGCTTTGTCAGGAGTGTGTGGTGTATAAATATGATAAATACATATATAAAATATGTGAATCAAGCCAAAGATATTCATGAACCATGTGCAGATTTATTCTTGTTTTCCTCCTTTTCCCCAGATGTAAGTAGTTAAACTTTGCCAGCCACAGAACTAGCATCCATAAGTGTATAATCCATTCCTCCCCTCAGAATGGTCTGAAAAATTATGTCATTTTTCCCTGTCAAGATCAGCACTTCAATTTGTCCAAGACAAATATAGATATATAGAGATAAGGATGCATAGACAGACACTTTAAGATAATAAATTACTCTGTTGAACATCCCTTTCTAATTCTCAGTATTTCATCTTCTTGATTTCACTTTAAAAAAATACTATCTAGATCTCAAAAGAGCATCTTGTCTCTAAAAAGTACAAGATGTTTCTATTCTACTTCATAATGACCACCACAGAAATTTTGGCAGCTAGCTGTAAAAGCCTTCACTGATGTGTAAAATTCAATAAAGGCTTACTAACAGGATACTTCATTGGTCCAAGTAGAACATTTGTAATTCTGGATAATCTTCCATAAAAACAACTGAAGATGAAACAGAGGCATGAGAAATTAATGGTAATCAAAGCTTCTGCCACTTTGATTTGGAATGGCTCGGCAATTATCAGTATTTGGAATGGAACTTTCAAAAATTATGTACGGTACCAAAACCAGAAAATTAACCCCAGTTCAACAAGCTAAACCAACCTCTCTTATTTTGGTCCCTCTAACTGCACCAAACTTCAGCTCCTGAAGACCAGACAACATGACCATTGAATTATGGAGGGCAGGAAGTTGGAAGAGATATGGCCTATGTGAACATTTCCACAGAGGGGCCATTTAATACATCATAGAAGATACTGAAGGAACTTGTTTCTGTTCTCTCCTATTCAGTATCCCAGTCACGCCCATGCTCATATGATACTATATTTAATTATCCTTTTTCATAGTTTTGGGTTACTGTGGAATCCAAAAGATAATTCAATCTGCACAACAGTCCTTGAAGCATAAATTAGCTCAAATCACTTTCAAATGCAGACTAAAATTCTCTAACAATACTGTTTGGATTGTGACTTCTGGGGAAGCAATGGCAGACTGAAAAATGCTGATGATCGTGGCAGAAAGAGGAGCCGATGAATGGATTGGCTCTCTGGAATTCCTCTCCATAGGAAGGAGAGGATCCGGATCACCCACAATCCACACTCCATACAGTGGGTCCCCATGAGGAGACCATAAGACAGCAGTCTTCAGTGGGCTTTAGAGCTCTGGGAGCTGGGGGGAAGTCATCTTGCCTAAGCCACAGTTCAGTACCTTCAAAAGGACACAGGGTTCACATACTTCCTTTCTTAACCACTTTAGGAAATTGCTTGTTAATGGCTCTTTGGATGTTAAGAACCTTCAGATGGGCAAGTTTCATTACACCAGGTAATATCCTCCCTCTTCTATCCTTGACAAAAGAAGTTTCATGCAAGTTTAAAGACTATACTTTCTAAAAAAACATTTTGAATAAATAGGAAAATGGTGATTAGAAGGTTGATTTTGGAAAGCTATAAATGGATTAAGGGGCCAGATGGACTTGAGATAAGTTTTTGAAATTAATTACAATAATACCTCCTGTGGGTTGTTTAAAGTTTTACTACACACAGACACACACAAATATATATAAAGATTTTGAAACTAACTGTAAGAAATCTTCCCATGGGAAAGTGTTGTTGATTAGGGGAAAAAAACATGATAAGAGAGGGATTTGAAGGATGACTAGAGGGAACCAGAGTAACTAAAGATTATAATTAAAGGAGAAGAGACCTATTAATTCAGAATGGAGCAATATTATTTGACTGTGGAAGAATTCAAGGATATTTGGGAACAATGCACTAGAAATTACTTTTAAGAATGTCTGCTATTATAAAAATGGATTCAAAAGAAGTTATGGAAGAGGAGCAGATTTTACTGCATAAACCAGAGACTTAGGTTGATTTGAATGTGGATCTGAAAATGCATTGTAAAAGAGCAGGCTACAAGAATGATATGGAAAATGATGTTACACTGGATTTACAAATGAAACTGGCTGTCTTAATAATTAAAAGGGACATACAAATAATAAATCAGAAGAGTGACTTGGATACCTTTCTTATCTTGGATTTACAAAAGAGATGTGTTAAACTTGTGAAGGAGTTTCTGAAAGGAGACAAAGAGAAAATGATAACAAATCAACTTGTGGGACACTATTTGAACAGATTAAAGATCAAGATTCTAAAAAGTAAACGGAAGGAATACCAAGTGGGTTTATTTGATCAAAGTTAAAATATATATGTTGTTGTTTTTGGTAGCTCTTAATGGACTTTTTTTTAACTAGGACTGAATGACAAGACTTTAAAGATTTGTTTATAGATAAGAGATAAGATATGGGAAGAAGAGTTTTGTTTTTGTTTTGTTTTTAGAGAAAGTGATGTTACTGTGTTAAAAGTAAAGGAAAGGAATATAAAACTGATTTATCTGATTAAGGTTAAAATATATTTGTTATTATTTCTGGTAATTCTTAATGGACTTTTGCTGATTAGGACTGAATGACGAGGCTTTTATATTGTGTATTTGATAAGAGATGAGATATGGGAAGAAGAGGTCTTTTGTTGAAATATCAGAGAAGTTACTGAAATTGTACTTGTCTTGATAGAGGGGGAAGTCATTCCTTTACAGTATATATCCTTTTTTCTTTATTGTTTTTTTCCTTTTTCTGTGTACTTTGTATTTTTTCTTTTTTACTTTTTATAGTCTTCTTAGGTTGTATTAGTTTTTTATCTTTTTATTTGTAAACTTCAATAAAAATTATTATAAAAAAACACAATGCTATTTGGATTGCAAGTGCTCAACAACCTCAACTGTACAGATTGACTGCAGTGGGGAGAAAACCATTTTCATCAAGGAAAAATGCTTGGGTGTCCTTGCCACTCTACTCCCGGACTTCTTCCTTGCTATCCCTTCAAAATAGTTGCTTTCATCCTCTGATTCTTCAATAGAAGT